ATCCTGACCAGAGGGCCCTACAGAGGGAAGTCATGGAGGAGAATTCTAGGATGGTGACATCTCTGGGTAAGGCCCACTCTTTTCCTGGTAATTGAAAATAAATCCAAAAGGTGGAGAGAAATGCTGAGATCGGAAAGGAGGTTATGAAAGTATGGCAGAGGGTGTCACCAGGAGGTAAGAGAGCTACATGGTGGGTGCAGATTGTCCGTTTCTGGTCATACCCAGAATTCAGTCTTCATCTGTGCTTGTCTCTCTTCTTTGCAGATAATTTGAAGAAAACAACCATATGTGCAAAGAGCAGCAAGTGCTATGTGCAGAAAATGGATCTTGTCAGACACCGGCAAAGTCACACAGATGTTAAAAGAATTACTGGAGGGAAACCCTACAAATGCATCCTGTGTGGGAAACATTTTGCCCAAAAGATGACCCTGATCCTTCACAAGAGGAGCCACATTGCAAAGAAAAATGTCAAAGAGAAGCCACACAAATGCCAGGAGTATGAGAAATGTTTTCCTCAAAAGACAGACTTGAAAAAGCATGAGACTCGGCACAGCGGAGAGAAACCATACCAATCTGAGGAGTGCGGGAAAGGTTTTACCTGGAATCCAAACGTTATGAAGCATCAGAGAGTTCATATGAAAGAGAAACAATACAAATGCCTGGAGTGCAGCAAACATTTTTCTTGCAGTACAACTCTTCTGATCCATCAGAGAGTGCACAGAGGAGAAAAACGATACAAATATAAGGAGTGTGATAAATGTTTTCCTCAGAAGACAGAGTTGGTGAAGCATAAGACTCAGCACACAGGAGAGAAACCGTACAAATGTCAGGAGTGTGAGAAGTCTTTTTCTCGTAACTCAAGCTTTCTGAGGCACAAAAGAGTTCACACAGGTGAGAAACCGTACAAATGCCAGGAGTGTGGGAAAGATTTTGCTCAAAACTCAGAACTTGTCAGGCATCAGAAGATCCACACTGGAGAAAAACCATATCAATGCCAGAAATGTGCAAAATGTTTTGCTGATAAATCAAACCTTGATAAACATCAAAGAGTGCACACTGGAGAGAAACCGTACAAATGTCAGGAGTGTGGGAAATGCTTTGCTCAGAATTCACATCTTGTGACACATCACAAAGTTCACACAGGAGAGAAACCCTACCGATGTCAGCAATGTGGGAAGTGTTTCCCTTGTAATTCACAGCTTGTAACCCATCAGAGAGTCCATACAGGTGAGAAACCGTACAAATGCCAGGAGTGTGGGAAAGATTTTGCTCAAAACTCAGAACTTGTCAGGCATCAGAAGATCCACACTGGAGAAAAACCATATCAATGCCAGAAATGTGCAAAATGTTTTGCTGATAAATCAAACCTTGATAAACATCAAAGAGTGCACACTGGAGAGAAACCGTACAAATGTCAGGAGTGTGGGAAATGCTTTGCTCAGAATTCACATCTTGTGACACATCACAAAGTTCACACAGGAGAGAAACCCTACCGATGTCAGCAATGTGGGAAGTGTTTCCCTTGTAATTCACAGCTTGTAACCCATCAGAGAGTCCATACAGGTGAGAAACCGTACAAATGCCAGGAGTGTGGGAAAGATTTTGCTCAAAACTCAGAACTTGTCAGGCATCAGAAGATCCACACTGGAGAAAAACCATATCAATGCCAGAAATGTGCAAAATGTTTTGCTGATAAATCAAACCTTGATAAACATCAAAGAGTGCACACTGGAGAGAAACCGTACAAATGTCAGGAGTGTGGGAAATGCTTTGCTCAGAATTCACATCTTGTGACACATCACAAAGTTCACACAGGAGAGAAACCCTACCGATGTCAGCAATGTGGGAAGTGTTTCCCTTGTAATTCACAGCTTGTAACCCATCAGAGAGTCCATACAGGTGAGAAACCGTACAAATGCCAGGAGTGTGGGAAAGATTTTGCTCAAAACTCAGAACTTGTCAGGCATCAGAAGATCCACACTGGAGAAAAACCATATCAATGCCAGAAATGTGCAAAATGTTTTGCTGATAAATCAAACCTTGATAAACATCAAAGAGTGCACACTGGAGAGAAACCGTACAAATGTCAGGAGTGTGGGAAATGCTTTGCTCAGAATTCACATCTTGTGACACATCACAAAGTTCACACAGGAGAGAAACCCTACCGATGTCAGCAATGTGGGAAGTGTTTCCCTTGTAATTCACAGCTTGTAACCCATCAGAGAGTCCATACAGGTGAGAAACCGTACAAATGCCAGGAGTGTGGGAAAGATTTTGCTCAAAACTCAGAACTTGTCAGGCATCAGAAGATCCACACTGGAGAAAAACCATATCAATGCCAGAAATGTGCAAAATGTTTTGCTGATAAATCAAACCTTGATAAACATCAAAGAGTGCACACTGGAGAGAAACCGTACAAATGTCAGGAGTGTGGGAAATGCTTTGCTCAGAATTCACATCTTGTGACACATCACAAAGTTCACACAGGAGAGAAACCCTACCGATGTCAGCAATGTGGGAAGTGTTTCCCTTGTAATTCACAGCTTGTAACCCATCAGAGAGTCCATACAGGTGAGAAACCGTACAAATGCCAGGAGTGTGGGAAAGATTTTGCTCAAAACTCAGAACTTGTCAGGCATCAGAAGATCCACACTGGAGAAAAACCATATCAATGCCAGAAATGTGCAAAATGTTTTGCTGATAAATCAAACCTTGATAAACATCAAAGAGTGCACACTGGAGAGAAACCGTACAAATGTCAGGAGTGTGGGAAATGCTTTGCTCAGAATTCACATCTTGTGACACATCACAAAGTTCACACAGGAGAGAAACCCTACCGATGTCAGCAATGTGGGAAGTGTTTCCCTTGTAATTCACAGCTTGTAACCCATCAGAGAGTCCATACAGGTGAGAAACCGTACAAATGCCAGGAGTGTGGGAAAGATTTTGCTCAAAACTCAGAACTTGTCAGGCATCAGAAGATCCACACTGGAGAAAAACCATATCAATGCCAGAAATGTGCAAAATGTTTTGCTGATAAATCAAACCTTGATAAACATCAAAGAGTGCACACTGGAGAGAAACCGTACAAATGTCAGGAGTGTGGGAAATGCTTTGCTCAGAATTCACATCTTGTGACACATCACAAAGTTCACACAGGAGAGAAACCCTACCGATGTCAGCAATGTGGGAAGTGTTTCCCTTGTAATTCACAGCTTGTAACCCATCAGAGAGTCCATACAGGTGAGAAACCGTACAAATGCCAGGAGTGTGGGAAAGATTTTGCTCAAAACTCAGAACTTGTCAGGCATCAGAAGATCCACACTGGAGAAAAACCATATCAATGCCAGAAATGTGCAAAATGTTTTGCTGATAAATCAAACCTTGATAAACATCAAAGAGTGCACACTGGAGAGAAACCGTACAAATGTCAGGAGTGTGGGAAATGCTTTGCTCAGAATTCACATCTTGTGACACATCACAAAGTTCACACAGGAGAGAAACCCTACCGATGTCAGCAATGTGGGAAGTGTTTCCCTTGTAATTCACAGCTTGTAACCCATCAGAGAGTCCATACAGGTGAGAAAGTGTTGGGGGGTACCTGCTGCTGCTGAGTGTGCCTTTTTTGAGGGGGGCCTTCAGAGGAAGGTTGCCGGACCACTCTGTGTGTGTGTGTGTGCGTGCGCGTGCGTGTGCACCTGTGCGGGGGCCCCCGTTCTGTTTAATTTCGCATGTACGAGGTGTTTTTTTTAATTATGTCATGCCCTCCACCTCACTAGGCGATCGCCGACGCTCCCTCCCTCCTCCACTTCTTCATCCTGCTGCTGGTGCTGGTGTGGGTAGTGAAGAAGGAGCCAGAGGGGGTCGTGGCCGGTGATGAGGGCTCATGCGCCCCTCCTCCTCGGAGCCCCAGCCGGGCTAAGGAAACTCCTGGGCAGAACATCTGATGCGGCCCAGCCTCATCCAGCCTCTGCCTCCAGCGGCCCCCAGGTAAATTGAGTTTGAGACCCCTGCTTTACACTCTCGCCTCACGTCTCACACCCACAAGAATTTACAAACTGGAGAGAAACTATACCAGTGCCACAAAAATATGGGATATGTTTTTCTCATAACTGAAACCTTCTAATTCACCAGA